GAACAGCAGCACCAGCAGCTGCTGAGTTAGAAAATTTTTAATCAGTTTGAGGCCAACCATTTTCAACACTTTGAAACAAGGGAACCATGTTTGAAAACCAAAAGGCTGAGGTTCACCTGTCTTCAGAGATGGAAAAACAACTGTCCATTCGGGTGCCTAAGTGAAAACTAAAACCATTTCTACCATCCTTCTGTGTGGAGCTTTGAGCTGCTGTGACTGCAAAGCAATCAAACAACCACAGCATCTCTGACAGAAAATACAGTTCCATAATGGATTCGAGTAAAGCCTGAAAAACAGAGCACACCAGCCTGGAACACACAAGGCTGCACTCTTGCCATTTCATAGCTGTCAAACACAAAGCCTGAAAAGTAGGTCTTAGAACTTTGTTTTCACTACTCTTGTGAGCTTCAACAGGCACAGAAAGAATTATTCTGCTTGTAAAAAGCTATGAAGAGAATTAGAATTAGACCAAGTAGATCAGGCTTAGGCAACTGCAAGCTAACAGAGAGCCATTCCTTGAGCTGCTGCAAACGGCCCTTAGGAGCAATACAGTATTCCCTGATAAGAGAAATACCAACAGGTAAGTACCTGGGAAAGTATTTTTCACAGAATTATTTTTTACTAAGACTCCAATCAGAAAAATAGCACATATTTTCATCTCTAGGCAATAAAACTTGAGACATGTGCTTTGGCTCTTTAAAATTCGATAAAGAAGTTTGTATAATGGTGTTCAGAAGTTATTTATGTTGATAAGTTGTGTCACCCTTAAATGAAGCACAGCTTCCCCAGATCACTTAGTTCTGACACTAAGTCCTTCATAACTTAGCTTGAGACAAATGAGATCACAGTTCTCCACCTGCTTAAAACTGGGGTAGGACTATTTCAGTTACAGATGTATCAGATAAGAGAAAACACTGAGTTCTTTTGACAGCTCTTCTGAGTGAAAGATACATCCAGTGCACAGGCAGCAGAGGAAACCTTGTTGGAACTCAAGTATCAGCTTCATGCTCAGCCAGCACAGCTGAATGCCAAAGCCCGGTCAGGAGGAACTGTAGCAGGCTGGAGGAGTGGACACATTACCTTAAGTTTAGCATGAATTGGATGTCAAAGGACAATTGTAACTGAAATCAACACTGCCAGCACAAAACCTGCTGTTTCACTAATAAACTGAGAGAACTCCCAAATTCACCACAGTCTTGACAGAGGCCATTTCCATAAACTGCTCTTACTAATTACAAGGCTCGTCTTTCTTTTTCATCCTGTGAATCTTTAAAATATCACAGTGACATTCAATAATTTTTACACTGACAATGCTGAAAAATGTAAGTAATACCTAGGTAATTTTACCTAGGTAAAGTCTCTCAAAGTGGGTAGGATCTGTCAACTCATTAAATGGAACATGAATTCCCATGTCCATGCTACTTATTTGAAGTGAAATATCCATGGACTGCATGAAATGCACACTCATGGTTTTAAAATACAGACAGAAACATCCAGCAATATTGCAAAAATATTGAGTAGTAGTCAGGTAAAATGAAGGAATCCCAGAATAATCTCTTTTATGTGTTCCAGCTTTTAAAAATCTTTCTTGAGGAAAAAAATCCACATTAAATCCCAAGAAGTTACCTGCAGTTTTAATTCCTTTTCTCAAATGCCCAGCTATGTCTTTTTCATAGACTTAGAAAATGGCTGTACCAAATGTTCTCACTTCTTCCATTTGTGCTGATAGCAATAATTTCTGTCAATAAATTTGAGCTGGCTATATAACACATCTATTTTTTGTGAAATTCTTTAAAGGGTCTTTTCATGACCACTGGAATATTTTGTTTTTAGGAATCTATAAAGTTAACAATGTGAGATCCACTAAACTAAAGTTTAGACAAAGACAAAATAGATGGGTTATCTGGTAATTGTTCTGTTCCCCCTATTTAACTGCAAAGTATGCAAAAAGTCCTGTATTTAAAAAGTACATCCAGAGCACTCAAGTGTAAAAGAAATCATAATGAAAGGCTGAAGTGACATTCATTGTAGCCATGCTTTATTTCTCAACATTGCAGTAATTCTCTCTTTATATGCCATTAATACCTTCCAGAAATATAGGTTTCATAGTTGCTTCAGAGTATCTTTCAGTCATTTCTTTAACAGAGGTCATATAAATCTAAGTTAAAACTTCCCAAGTAGTCTAAATAAGATGAGATCATCACCAGTCATAGTCAATGAGGTCTTTTAAATATTGCACCCATACTACTTATTTTGCTTAGGAGCTGTAAGTCCTCTATTTCTTGAGTCTGCCTCCATCTTAGGTTCAAATAAATTAAGAATATTCATAAGATAGGTGGTCAAATATACACTGCTAATTAATGCCCAAAACTAAGTTTAGATACCCTTGTTCAACAGTCTAGAGATAGGAAATATTAAAATGAATTTTTATGTAACTATCACAAACACACCTACTGGTTTACATAACAACAATCTTCTCTACTGATCAATTATCAAGGGTTTTGGCATCTCAAAGTATTTTAATTAAATCCCTTCATAAGTGAAGGTAAGTACAGTCCCTCATCTTCATTGCGTGTCTCAGTAGCCCAGGTATGGCCAGTTGCTGCAGAGCTGATTTCACATTCAAAGAAAATGTTACATAGCTGCCCTTAAAAGAAATTAATGGTGCCCACAAGAGCTTCTCTCTATTCAGAATAAAGGCTGTCCAAACTACAGGATCAGGATCAGGTGTGGATGTTGATAATGTGATATTTGAAGTTAGATGAAATGAATTTTGCTCTTCCCCCTAAATATTATCGAGCGTGGATTTCATGTTCTCCCTGGAGTTTTATACTCCATGTTCCCAACAGTCCACCCCTGCAAGAAGGCATATGCTACTAAGTCAATATTTCCTCTTTGAGTAATTAACACTGGCACCTGTCAAAAATACTTTAGGGATAGACAGAAAGACATTTCTGTTGTGACTGTTTCTACCACAATAACCTATCCTTATATCTGTAGCTTAGCACTAGCCGTTGTTACTTGATTGTTCAGCGTCCTTCACTTAGATTCTTTGCTTGTTTTTCTTACTCTGCTCCAAGGAAATGTTAGTCAGTGCTCTGGCCTCACTTTGGCCCTTTGGAGTCTCATACCCCTTAGCTACACTGAGAGACTGTGGCTGACATTAACCAGTGTCAACAAGATTGTATTGTTTGGAATAAAGATTGATGCCTGTATTTACAATGGATGTTATGCATTTAACTGAAATGTATGATGTCCATTTACCAGCTTTTCAGCTTTATGTTGAAGCCGAACCAGGAAAATGAGGAATAATAAGACTTTTGGTTGTAGGAAGGAAAAAGTGAAGTTTCTATGTCTATAGCTCAGGTTTCTTCAGCAGTTCCTTTTCTATCTAAGAATCACATCGATACTTAAGGTAAGCCAGACTACACAATTAATTTACTTACAGGTCTTAAGAAACAATATATGAAAACAAACCAACTAGAACAGTAACAATACTAATACACATAAATTTTCACTTTATGGACATCTTTGTCTTCACATTCTCTTTGCCTATTGTAATAATAGAATGTATTGTCCCTTCTCTGAAGTTTCTTAACAAATCCAGTTTCTGGCCAGCACTCTACCTACAAGTAGAACAAAAAGGACACAAAATCACCTGAATGTTCTCACATTAAATGATGTTTGTGCATGATATTGCAAGGAATATAGGATCTACTTCCATAGGAAACCCTCATTTGCATCTAAACACTACTTTTCTATTAAATTGCTGAACTTTTAAAAACAGATTGAGAACAAGATGACAGAAACCAGTGTTCAGGTTTAGTATAAAGTTATGTGATTTGAAAAGCCTAGAAATAGGAATCTAAGGGTATTTAACCGGCTAATTTTAAATTGGGCAAGTCAAAGTTGTTAAAACATCTTGTTTAGGAATATAACAATAGCATCAATAATATTGATGCTATTCAATTATTCAGTAATCTGACAGGCTGCAAGTTTCTGTAAGACTGACATACACTTATGTTTCTTTCAGATCCTTCTGACCATGAAAAATGTGCTTCTCATCAGAAATTTCATGAAAATAAAGTAAGCTGCAGACTATATCAGACTCAAAGACAGTGGGATGAGTCCCACATAAACCCAGCATCACCCTGGTGCTCTTCACTGTTCCACAGCATAAAGCTTTCAATTAAAGGCTTCAGCATTTGCATGTTCAACAACTTTATGGCTTTAGTAGCTCTTTCAGCTTGAGCATCTATGACTGCTTCTGATTAAACTAAACCTTAAAAATCAGATAATAAGTATCTTATTTCTCTTCCAGGCAGCACTGACAACAGGATGTCAGACTAGAGCGTTCTCTAATTGGAGAGCCCCAGAAGTGGTTTCATTACTCACTTTATGACTTCAGGCATACAGCTGTGTGATTTGCATTGTCTGTCTAAACATAACAGCCTTAATATTCATTCCACCTACATTATAATTGCATCTTTAGTAACAACTGCATTATAAAAACCTAATATGGACTAAACAAGACATTTCAGAACATATAAGTTGAAATAGAATCACTGCCAGGCCCTGGCAGACAGGAACAGAATGCACACTCACATTACAAGTCAGTGGTATTCTTTAACTTTCATCAGAGTTTAACTGCCAGTAGTTTTGCCTTGCCATAAATCTTAAACACACAGATCCTACCACAATAATTATGTGATTTTCTTCTGCAATTACTGAAAATTATACCACAGCCTTTGCAGTAGTCAGAGCCCACAATAAAATAATAAACTGTATCTTATTATGCACATCAACGTGTTTTGCTGTGTTTTGAGTTAAATGGATGGGGAGTGAATTTCTTGGAACTTTCTGTGGTTTCTTATGTGCACAGGAAGTTAACATACTTTAAAAGTGTGTTCTTCATACTATATTTGCTGATTTGGAAGATAAATTACAGAGGTGTAATAAAATGGCATATTGTTTGTTGTATTAACCTTTTGGTTGCTATTTTGAACATTGAGTAGCTGCTGGATATTTGGCCACTTATCAATAGCTCATTTGATGTGCTGGGGAGCATCACCACCAACTGTAGTGAGCAGAGGCACAAGTCCTTGGTGTTGACAAGAGCCTGTGTCACAACTGCCTTTAGTACAGCTGGCATCAAATAGTTCCATTGTGGACATCATTTTGATAGAGGCCAAGTTCTGAGAGTGCACAAAACCTGACTGTGCTACCACACAATCCAACTGCAAACTGAAGCAATAGCAATGACACAGGACTGACTCCATGGATGATCAACAAACTTCCTATCAGATCTACTGACAGACTAGTGGGGAAGCTTCAGAGAATTCACTATGAAATATTTCTTCCCCCAACACAGAATTATTCCTTTGGAGATCAGCTACATCTGTTCAAAGAGATCTGTGATGCTTCTAAATGCATCAGAGAAGGGGAGCAAAACACAGGCTGGGTATTGTTTCTGTTTCACTTCTGTGAAATGAATTATTCTACACAGTTAACAACAGCTCAAGAGCTCAAGTCCGACCTGTGAGGAAACATAGTGTATCAGAACCTAGCTTAAATGAAAGGAAATAAGCACCACCTCCATTTTTATTTAATCATTTTACATGAGAGAGAAGTTTAAAATAGTAACTCTTACAAAGTTCTACATCTTACCTCATCAACTTGTTTCACTTGTTTATATTCCACCTCATCTCTGTATCCAGCTTGCTGAAATCTGTATAAGTTCTCTACATTATCTGACCATGTTTTGGCACGATGCATAGATTTTGGTTTGATGTCAGCTTTTGTCATGACTTCAGAAACTTCAGACATATCCCTGAAATTAGACTTGAAAAAATTAAATAGAGAAGAGAGAAGCAAGTGATTTTGTTGGGGACATAGAGTTATGGGTAGAACAAAATTTTAAAATAAAGGAATTACAGAGTTCAAGGTCTGAGGTTAAAAAGGGAAAAAGTTATAAGCAGTTGGAATCAAATTAAATGCATTACTTGATCTCAAACAAACCCAACTTGTCTGTGCTTCCATATATATCTCAACTCAAACTTCCTAAAATTTAATTGTGCATACTGATGTATTAAAAAAAATATTAAATGCAGTATTTTTGAATTTCACATCTTTGCAGTTGCTGTCCCCTTAGGGTGGGCAGGCAGATGTCCAGATTTTTCTTTCTTGCTCCTGAGGTGACACCAAAACTGGGTCCAAACTGGGAATGACAGAATGAAGATCTGGGCTGTTACTGAAGAACAGCAAACACTCAGGATGGAAGAGGAGGGGAAAGGAGAAATGCACAGTGACATGGTCACAATGCCAATGACAGAGATAAGGTCTTCAGAGATAAACTGGATAAAGAGACAAGGCACACAGCCTGCCAGAAATCACTCCTTTCTACCTTTGCCCAATCAAACTGACTGCCACTGACTTCCTCTTCAAACAAAACCCATTTGTTCAGCTTGCTGAGACATAGGAAACAGGTTAATCAACAGCTAAACCTGAAAAGAACAGAAGTGGGACAAGCTGAAGCTCAAGCTGAAAAGAAAATTAATTAAATAGGTAAATGAAAAAAAAAAAAAAAAAGCAAACCCAAACAAACTAAAAAAACCAGCAACAAAAAAACAATAAAAATATCTGCAGACAGTGGATAGTCACCAGGGATAGATTTGAACTACATTAAAAAAAATAAATCATTTGACTTCTGCCTTATATCTGAATTTCATTGCATTTGCTTTCCTAAGCATATCTTATTTTGCTACACGAATAGAACTTTTGTTGCTTCTGCAAGCAAAACACACCCATCACTATCATGCCTAGCAGGTATGATCAGAGATAAGTTGTTTCCCAGTTTTGAAATGTCACCAAGTTTCAGCTTCATAATTAGAAAAACATCTCCAAGGAATGAATGCTTCTGAATTTCACAGTGAGAAGATGAATACAGTCTCCTTCCCTATGGGTATGATGCTGCCTCCAAACCTTGCTCAATTTCTCTACTTGGCAAGTTCCTATATCAACAGAGGTTGAAAAGTTGAATGCTGAAAACTTATCAAATGCAACATATCACTAGTCTTTTAGAAAAGCAGAAATTGGAAAAAAAAAGTTTTGCACCACAGGATAAAAATCTTTGTGAAAATTATATCAAGAATTATTGTTGTCACGATGTGGAACTAGCAGAAAGAAGTCTGCGCACCTGTCATCTGTATGACAGCCATCAGGAGACAAAGAAAGGGGCTTTCATCTCTTACCAAATACACTTTATTAGAGATCAATAAAAATATGTCAAAGGACATTTTTCTGGCAACACTAAACTATTTCTTGTATTCTTTTACCCGAGGTACTGCAGCATTTTGCAATTGAAAGCAGCCATTTACTAAAATAAAAAAGTAATTTTCTCACCTGGTTATGAGGTATCAAATAAAAATTAACAGGTTAAGCACAGATCCTTATTCTAAACTTAGGGTAGTCTTTGAGATATCTATCTCAATGTTAGTTGCTTTTTTTTTCTCCTGTGCTGCAAAGGGCTCTTTTGTAGCCATCAAAAGATTTTTTAAGCTCTGTATTTGTTCATCCGTGTTTGATGAGAACTGTTGTCAGTCAATATTGACTTTAGACAGTCAATATGATTAGCAGTAACATTAGATCTTAAAAAATGCTAAGCTATAATGAAATTAAGTGTCTTGTGATAACTTACATGTCATTAGTTTTAAGTTCTTCTTTACAGGAGGTGCTGGATTCACCTAATGAATGTTTTTCTTCAAGACATGTGGGTAGGTCTGGCTCTTCGTGAGTCACCATTAATTCACAGTGCCTGTCCACAGGCGTCCCTGCCCAAAAAGTAAAGATCATATATTGAAAGTTCCAGCTTTGTGACTTCATAGAATGAAAGCATCCCATTTTTGGGCTGCTATTTAAAAATTGTAGTCTTTGTCTATTGTGTGTCCAAGTTCCAGGCACAGAGCTGTTTTCTTTGTACCAGAGCAGAGGACAGCTGTACTCCAGCCAGGAATTCAGGGAAGAGATGAAAGACAACAGACAGATAAAGCCAAATAAAGACAAGAGAATGGTAAGGAAATATTCAGTTTAATATTAACACTTTTAATTTAAGGGGAATTTTTGAACAGTGAAGTGGATTTGATAAGATGACAATGTTTGCCTGCTCCTAATTTAGGGTAAACTGTGAGTGGTTTGGCCTTGGGAACACATTTTTTAATGTTAATCATAACACAATTACTGTGGAATCCTAACTAGTCTGGGCTCGCTGATGGTGGTTTCCTGAACAGTTACACAAGCTGTACAGATTTGTGGGAAGAGAATGTCTGCTCCCTTAGGGCACCTACTAAAGGACCATTTTCACTGCAACATGGGGTTACAGGAAAGGGAGGAAACCATAAAACAATACATGGGTACTCAAACCTGAGCAGAAAATGAGGAAGGTGGTGATGAAAACCACACCTGGCTGGTTATGTTGGCATGTGAACAGTGTGAAAATGTTTATTCCAGCAAGGTTATCTGATCAGGGACCTTGTCAGCTGGGAAATTTGGGGAAAAGGGGGAAACAAACAAAATATGCAGAGACCTGACAAAAAGCCTCAAAAGGTTGATAAACAAACCTCAACTCTAGCACTAATAGATGGGCTATCAAGAAACTACAGGAATGACATCCAGGGAGATCAACCAGGACTTTGCACTGCTAAGACTTAACCAGGGCAACCTAGACCTGGAGAGGTGTGGGAATCCATGGAACTGTATAGATCTGTGAGAAATGTGCAGGAGCAATGAAAAACAAAGACAGGAATAGACAGAAAGGAGTATAAAATAAGCCTGTCCTATGTAAAAGAGGAGCAGTCAGTATTATATGCCTAGCTAAGCCCCACATCTGATCATCACAGACTGTCCTACCCTATTGTTGCTTCTTAAATTTGAACTGTCTCTCTGCACAAACTCTCTATTCCACACGTGTGTGTGCTGCAAGGACAAAGTGCCAGTGGTGAGACCTGTGCATGAGTGAAAACTGGTGCCAACTCCTGGCTGGGGGTATGGGTACCTCTGGCCTATGCTATCTGGAATAGGTGGGGGTACTAAATTTCCAGCCACTGGAGCAGGAACAGGATGTGTCCTGAAAAATTAGCTACTGGGGGAGGGCTGTCATGAGTGAGGGGCTCTATATCAGCACTGTGGGTCACAGCCTGTGTGCCTGCTGCTGGGGAGGAATGGTGTCTGCACCTTCAGAGTAGGAGCAGAGCAGAGGGCCCTGCTGCATCCCCAGCCCGGACAAGGAGCTCCATGTCCCCAGGCAGGAGAGGCCCTGGGGCAGAGCAGCGGGAGGCTGTACTTCCTACATCACTTAACCCAAGTCAGCAAACACAGGACCTGCTCGGGGGTCTCAGGAGAGCCCGTACCAGATTTCATAGGATGTCAAGGGACTGGAAAGGACCTTAAAGAGCATCTCGTCCCAACCCCCTGCCATGAGCAGGGGCACCTTCCATTGGATGAGCCTGGCCAAAGCCCCATCCAACCTGGCCTGGAACTGTCTCAGGGCTGAGGCAGCACAACCTCACTGGGAAACCTGTCCCAGCGCCTCAGTGCCCGCACTGTAAAAAAATTCTTCCCAATATCTAATCTAAGTTCCCCTCTTTCCAGTGGCTTCTACCTACTCCACCCGACGACAGTTCCTTGTACATTCCGAGGTGCTCAGGCAGACGTCCCGGCCTGCATCTGCAACTGCGCCGCGACCGTAACTTCACGCTGCTCCCACCGCCATGGCCACAACCCGCCCACGCAGCCCTTAAGGCGGCTCACCTAGGTTCAAGAGACACAAAACACGTTCAAGAGACACTCTCACGAGGGGGGGAGTGGCGGCCGAGGGGCGATGGCGGCGCCTCTCACGGCTGTCCCCTCACGGCCGTCCCCTCACCACGCCACCGGTCGCCAG